CCACGCATCAATCGTCTCTGCCATGTCCGAGCAAGGCCTGGACGGCAAACAGCTCGATTTTGTGCGTCCCTTCCTTAATGGCCGCCAGTACGTGGTTAAGTCAGGATACGGCCCCGATGCAGTGGGTAGCAACACGAGGCTGAACCACGTCGGCGTACCCCAAGGAGCGGTACTTTCTTCGACGCTCTTTAACATCGTCATGGCCCCCCTTCTCTGGACCTTACACGGAATCCCGCACCTCCGCGCCTCGGCATACGCCGACGACATTACTATTTGGACTTGCGAAGGCAACCCCTCCACGCAACGAATTGCGCTCCAACAGCGCCTAGACGCCATCAATAACCATCTTCACCACGTCGGGCTCGCACCATCACCAGAGAAGACCATGTATACCGTCTTCGGCAAGGGACATGCGAACCTAGATCTCGGCCTTAAGTTCGATAATGAACCCGTGGGCAAAGCACCCAGCATCAAGATCTTAGGTGTCCACTTTGGCTAAGGCCCACACGTCACCCCAGAATGGGTCAAGACAATCTCCAAAACCTGGAAACAAGGCCTACACCTAATCCGACGCATCTCGCATCGGCTCGGTGGCGCAGGCGAACGCACTGCCAAGCTCCTCGTCACCTCAGTCCTCGTATCGAAAGTCGTCTACGCGGCCCGTTTTAACCGCTTCAAGCGCACACATTGGGATAAACTCAATACCCTTTAAAACGAGGCCCGCCGTACCATCCTCGGACTTCCTCGCATCACGCACATCGCCGAAGTCCGGAAATGCCTTCACCTCATCGATCTCAAAGACACCCAAGAGAAGCAGATTGAACTGCATGCCGCCCGCCTTCAGCGTACACCTCAAGGCCGCGCGATAGCACGCTACCTCGGAGTTGCTGTCTCCACCAACAACGACCTCCCCCCCGCCAAGCCACCCTGGGAACTGATCGATCTCACACAACACTCCAGTCCACTTCCTCTTAACATGAATGGCAAACGCCATGCGCAGAGACGAGAACATTACGTTCGACAACACCACGCTGAGCTGAACCGTCTTGTTCAGGATTCGTCCAACACTATAGCTTATACCGACGCGGCTTGCCACAGCTCCGGCGCATCTGCGGTGGCTGCAGTTTTCTCCCGCCCACACCCGACGTCCCTCGATTCCCCCTCCGTGTACACGAAGACCTACAACTCACCTTCCTCTCCGGAACTTGCCGAGGCGCGTGCTGTGCTCCTCGCACTCCGGACTCACGAAACCCATGCGCGTGAGGCGCCCGACCTCGTGCCCCGTGACGGCACTCTCACTGTACTGACTCCCAATACGTCATCCGTGCCCTTAAGAAGCAACACCTGATACACAGCCCCACAGTCTCGGGCATCTTCCAGACTGCCCTCGGCCTACACCGGAACTACGCCATCCGCACATGTATCCGCTGGATACCAGGGCACGAGGGCGTCGCCGGTAACGGGCGGGCCCACGGAGCCGCGATGGAGGAGATGAATAAGCCTCAACTTGCCCCCTCCCCCCCCCCCCCCCCCCCACCACTCGCAGTCTCCCACCTCCCTCTCGCTGCCGCCGTCTCCTGACTCTACCGCAGATGAGACCGCCCACGATCCTGATGAAGAGATGCGCCTCCTTAAACAACAATGGAGACGCCTCCTCGCTTCTTCCTGGACTCCGGAGCAGTTCCCGATCCCCGGCGGGGTCTTCCGCCGATCGCAGATAGTGCTCCTACGCCGGATCCGTACCGGAGGGGCCCTCACGCCCTATCTGCTTCAATTGTTTGACATCAACCGCAAGCGAAAAGCTGATCCATATTATTCTACCCCGGACCCCAGCTGCCAGCGCTGCAAGGACCCGGAGTCCTTACCCAGGCTTCATCATTTAATTTGGGACTGCGTAGCATTGGCAGCACACCGCACCACAGCCTGGTTTTCTGCCCGACGATGAACGCCCGACTTGCTATGATGACTGAGTGCACCCCCCCGGTGACTGCGAGCGCCGGACACGAATCCTGACCTCGCTCCTCGACTTTGTGTCGCGAAGCGGGCTAGCAACTTCGATGTAACGCTCATCCCCCTTTCCCTTTTTCATCTAGGGTCTTAGACGCCACGCCATAGCTGCGACCGCGTCGCACCAGACTTCTATTCCTGGTGTAATCCCTTGGTTCAATAAACGTCTTAACAACATTATAACTCGTTTTGAAGAGAGTCTGGTAGGTACATATTCGGATAAGATTCCTCTTTTTCTCCGCGGGCGGAGTCATCGCTTGCAACTCGCCGACAAGCGCCCTTTATCGACCACTTCACTCAGAAGAAACTTCTTCACAAAAAGGGCGTGTCGCGATCTTTGGACACGCTTTTAACGAGGAAATAACCTACGTATGATTGTGATTTTGAGATTGTTGGGATGCTTAGAGCGTCTAGATTAAGTTCTTACCCCAAAAGGACGATCTCAGAATCGACTTCAGTGCCCCTTAACAACAAAAGGTCGATCTCCATCTCTTTCGCGGATAAGAATCTTTCCGTTTTTGTGCCATGCATACTGATATCGGTCGCACTCGCCCAGTCTTTCGCGTCACGAAGAAGATTCCTGTTATGCCGGGTCATTGTTTTCTTGAATTTAGATCTCACACCGATGCTTTCTTAGTTCATTCTTTCTATCGAGCCATTGATCTCGAGTTTGCTGTTTTGCAAAGCGAACAATGACTGGTGGAACCTTTCCAGGTTTCGAAGGTAGCCGGTGTGCTGACACTACCTCCGGTTCTGCAAGATCTGGTAAACCTACCTTAGCTGCTACATCGTTTATCTTTTGGAGCAGGTCTTCATTATTAATTAGTGGGATGCCATGAAATAGCCGCTTTTGGCGCCTGCTCCTCCACTCGAGGTCGCTCAGTCCATCTTTCAGCTGGGCAACATCATTTTAGCATTTGCCCTCCTTAAGTTTCGTGACCCGTGCTTTTAAGTATTTGATGTCTGTATGTCGTCGTACGGATCCCATGATGTCGTCGTACGGATCCCACATCATCTGTACGGACTGCCTGATACCGTCTACTGTATTTTTTTTTAAATTTGTGAGAATTTCGAGTTTTTGACTTATTGATGCGAAAATCCCTATTATGTCAGCCTCGGGTGGTTTAGTCTCCCTAAAAGATTGACTCCTCTGTTTGCCCTTTTAGCAAGTCGGGCACTTCCATTATACTCTAGCACTTTCTCCTTTCTTCTTGAAGGTAGCTTCAGATACCCCGCTGCATGTTCCAAAACGGTAACTATAGGAACATTCAGAGCAGGTCGCGATAGGTCCATCAAGTGGGAGGGACTTTCCACGCGGTAAACACAAGTCACTCATGGTTCTAGTCGCGCTTTATGGCAGTATTGCAGCAGCAGCGGCCAACAGAGATGGGCGAACGAAAACGGGTGTGAAACCAACCTGAAAATACAGAGCGTTATTTTTAGACTGCAATCAGTGTGCCGCCGCTGCTGCCTTTGCCGGTGTCAGACGGAAAACAGCTCTTATTGTAGCTTCGGGTTTCGAGCACCACCTTGCGAATAATTGAAGATTGCCGATCTTGAAGATCACATGGAAGGCTGTCTGCCTTCAGGTTGACCCACCGATGAGTACGTTTTTTTGTGTATCACCCGGTGACATAGTTAGATTTGATTGGATTCGTAGATGACATAAACACTTAACAGGTAATAAAAGTACTTAAGAAATGCGTTCCTCCGTTTATATCAATATACCACCAGTTTCTGCTCCAACCCTCCTATGTAAAAAAATAAATATATATATATATATATATATATATATATATATAAATATATATATATATGTAATAGTTGAATGGAAGTAAATTCTTCCCCACATATCATAGGAAAGCCATAACACGCTAAATAATAATTTATACGCAATATTCCTCTTTTCAGAATGAACATCATGAACACCAGCGTCTGTCGCCGACGTCCACCATCTAGGAGACACGAAGCCTCCTTTGCTCTCAAGCAAACCTAATTATAAATATACACAAATAATTTTCTTCCTTTTATAAGTAAACGCCCGCACTGTTTCTTATCAGTTTTTTTTTCTAATGACTGTGGCTTCGTAGTATCCTCTGTTTTTATTTGTGGATTGGCTTTTAAATCAAAATTTTCTTTTCGGTCATATTAGGCCCAATTTATTTATATTTAATTGGTTTAAACCTGTTATACGGTTTGATGGCGCAGGTAGAGAGACACATTTAATTTTTATTCATTTTAGCCAAAACGTGGGACGTCACGAGGGTAAAAGGTTACCGCTAAATTTGGCGAGGAAGTATTTTCGCTAAATTTAGCGGGTAAATTTTTCCGCAAATTTAGCGAAAAAATTGTTATGTGTGACGTCACGTGTGACGTTATTGTCAAAAACGTCCCATAATTCACCGCACGGTTACGCCAAATTTATTGCGAAACGTTTATCATCGTGACGTCACACGTGACGTCACGTTTGCGTCATAATCGGAAACGTCCCATAATGCAACGTGCGGTTACCCTGATGCCGACGCCGCTCAACCCTTCCCTCCTCCTCCTAAAAAGCTGCGCTCTAATTCAGCGTTACAGAGAATTGTAAACTACTTAATTTTTCTTCGGGTGGTCGTTTTTGTCATTTTCGGGAGCTTTCTTTTTAACCGTTTCCCTGAAAAACTATTCGAAAACTACACACCATTGTAGATAAAATGTAGTTTTACAGCGTTGCAAATGAACGCCTTCAATAATTCAGTCAAATGAATGAACCTCGACCAAATGAACTGACAATCGATTTAAAAGCTAGCGCCTAGATGGCACGACATGTCAAGCAAACTTGGAGTTCCTGTACAGGCTCCCTATGGGACCCAGAGTTCCGCGTTTATCCCCGTAGCGCCGGCTTTCTTGCATGGCATTCAGAGTCTTCGTCTCACGTGACTGAATTCAGCGAATAGCGGCGCCGCGCGTTCGACGTGCGCGGCGCGCTCAACTTGGGGGCATCCCAGAACATGATGCTCCAACTACATCAAGGACTGGTGCTGTCGGTGGCGCTCTACGCGCTGCCGCTGCTCAGCCTCAACACCTCACAGGCAGCAAACCTCGAGACAGTCCACCGGATCGCACTTAGGATCTGCCTCGGCATATCCAGGTCGGCGGCGTCCATCCCGACGTACACGGAAGCTGGAGCCAACACCGTCAGCAACCATCTCCAAAAGCGCGCACTTGGGCACCTCATCCGCATTTCCACCTGCGAGTCCGCGGCACCGCTGCTGGCACGCATCGCGGAGAGGCCCGAGTCGCGCTTGGGGCAGCTTCTGTGCGTTTTGGGGGACGTCGCAGGCCCTGCTCCGGCGATAACTCCCCTCCCACCATTGCACTCCGAACCCCATCCACTGACTGTCCGCCTCCGAGTCGACGGGATGGGCCCTCGACGGAGGACGGCCGACGTCGTGGCCAAACAGCTGACGGAGGACCACATCGAGCGGCACCACCCCGGCTGGGCAAGGGTGTACACCGACGGCTCCGTGCGGCCCAGCGACGGCTCGTCGACGGCGGCTGTCTTTGTGGAGAGGGCAGACCTGGGCGTGGGCGAACGGTTCGCCTTCCACGCCACCAGCACCACCACGGAGCTGGCGGCGATCCTTCTGGCGCTGCGCCTGATCCACTACAAGAGCCGACGCCCGGACAGCTGGCTGCTGCTCTCCGACTCCCAGGCGGCCCTGTCTCAGCTGTACGGGCTCGAGGGGGCATGCCCCCTCGCTCGGGAGATCGCTGGTGAGGCTCTGCTTCTCGGCGGCCTCGGCCACCGCTTGGCGTTCCAGTGGGTCCCGAGCCACTGCGGGATTCCTGGCAACGAGCGCGCGGACGCCCTGGCGGAGCGGGTCCATGACGCCGCCGAGTTCCGGACGTCGGACATGGGCCCCTTCGCCGACGCCAAGCTTCTTATCGCACGGGAGGCCGCCGCAAACCACCCGGACGAGCGGTACGCGGCCGGGGCCCGACCGGCGAAGCCCCCTCGGGGCACGGGCCGTCCAGCCGCCGCAGTCGTCCACAGGATCCGGACGGGGTGCGCCCTGACGCCGGCACGGATGCATCTCCTGCGCAACGAGGCCGACCCGGAATGCCCGACTTGCGGAGAATGGTCGGATCTCGACCACCTCCTCCTGACCTGCCCGGCACACGCTGACGCCCGGGCGGCCATGACAACATCCCTCGCCGCACTGGGGCTACCCTGCAACACCACAGAACAAATACTGAGACCCAGGGGCGACCGGCGCGGCAAAGACCGCGCGCTCAGGGCCCTACTGACCTTTCTGGAAGAAACCTGGCTCCTGTGGTCCCTCTGAACTTCCTCCGGGCGCCCGCCGACTGCGGAGCGGGGCCCTGACGGCTGTGCTCAGTCGTGCCCTGGACGCTCGCTTTGGCGCGCACCTGCCGCGTGCTCGACGAACGCACCCGGACTCCGGCGCGGATGGACTAGTGTGGGACCTCCCACCACACGACGTGGTCGCCCCGGACGATTGCTTGATCGCCGGACACCGCGCCGTGCCAGCCTCCAGCGCTGGACCCCCAACTCCCCCCGCCCCCCATCCCCGGCCACCCGGTATTCGATGCAACTAAATTAATCCCCCTCGCGCGTACTCCGACATGCCCGCCTCCCCTCCCCTTCTACAAATCTATTTCTATCTCCCCCCCTCCACCCCAACCTTTCTCCCCACACCCCCCTCCCCCCGAGAGCCAGTGACCAAGCGCCCGGTGCGCAACCACTATTGGCCCTCTCCTCCCCCCCCCCCCCCACCATCTTTCACAACGCTTAGAAGAAGAAGAAGAAAAGCAGGCGAACGTACGCCAGGGTGCGCGCAACGTCTACTTACCTGCACGGCACTTGATCCTGCTCCTCACGTGATCGGACCTCAGCGAATATCGGCGCGGCGGCACGTGGAAAACAGACGCACAACTCTGGCTCCCGCAGGGAGCCTATACAGAAACTCTAGGCAAACTCAGCACCGCTTATTGTGAAAGTTTGGCAATTCATTGATTTGAATAGGCGAGCATCTCGTGGCCACCCACGAGCCACGAAACAGCCCCTAGCGGTGGACGTGAGTTCTAAAAATACGACTCGAATAATTTAAGCCGTTTTAGAATCGCTGCAGTAAAAAGGAATAACTCTTGGTGACTAAAGACTTGGCGCATGTGAGGTTTTCGTAACGTCCATATACAAAGGTAGAATAAACGAACGTGTGCTCCAAACCAGAGCGAATTGCGTAGCTGTGATCATTGCTGCTGATTTGCTATTTACGCCATTGGCACCAAGACGCCGAGATTGAACGCGTCTATTTCACACTTTAAATATCGTTTTCATAATTAAGACGTCGCGGTCTGCTGATTGGTCGACGCTGCGTCGCACTTTTATTTTACGCTCTCACCGCGAGGGGAATATATGGCGTAGGTGGCGGCCTTTGCTCCGCCCATCGGCCAAACTCTCCCAATATACGCCTCTGGGCCAACTTAAGGAGCTGGACATCTTGACTTATCTAAGTACCGCCATCGTTTGATCGTGTCGAGGGCGCTCCTATATTGGATGCGGGGGACGCGCAGCCACTTTCGGATCATGGAGCATTCCAGATCCAGACGCGTAGACTCCTATTGGCCTGCTGTGGCTACCCGTGACGCGCCGCCGTTACTAGCACCCCCCTTTTAATCCACTGTAGATGCCGGCGCCGCGCCCGCCGCGACAAACTATAGTAGATAGGCGGCGACGCTCCGCCATCTTTAAAGTGCGTCCCCCCATACGCCAGGTTGGCGGTACTTGTTTATAAAATTCAACCAGCGCTTTAAGGAAAACTGAATAGTTTGCTTCAAGTTGACTAAAGCAAGCATATTTTTTTCGAGCTCTCCCTTTTAAATGAAAAAGCCGCAAATTCATCATCAACTGCATTGCACGGAAGCCAGACCGTGATGGGCCCGGGGCGCTCCGTCCAACGATGATGAGACCACGACCTACTGTAATCCTGACCTGCCCACGTAATGGCTCCCTATATATGAAAGACGCTGTTGCCGATGAAGTGCGCCGTTTTTCCATTGGATTCCGTTTAACAGTACCCACATTGGTACTGTTAAAAGAACTCGAAATAGTACGCAGCGTAAAATTAGAACCCGGCTACACGATGAAGACATAGATGTTGGTGTTCACAATTTTGACCAAAGTACTCAACGCGCGAAACCACTCAGCTATTATGACTATGCAAATGAGCTTAGAATAGTCATCACTGAATACTCCACCATGAAGGGTGCCAAAGGAACACGAAAACTTGTGTCAGGATGGGATTTTGAAATAAACAAGACTCAGTCATATACGAAAACACGCTAACCATGCGACACAGACAAGCGTTAAAGACTCTTGGAAAGGATCCTGTGACTTTAGAACTATGGGAAGGGTATCGCAAGTGAAAAGCATAAACGCAAGATATAGTAGACGCGAAAAAAACATGCAGGTACATGATTGTAAGGTAATGGCGGACGTAAAAAACGGCAGAAAAAAAGCAGTTGAAAGGTTCTGGAGGTATAAGCCGTCTCTAGACAGAAATGACAAATATCCAGAACTTCTGGATTACGATAGTTGATGCCCAGTTCAGCGAATTTGGGAATTGCTTGAGAAGCAGCTTGTAATCCTTTTTGGTGCTGCGTATGTCAAAAGTTCGAGAAGGAACGATCAGAGTCTGCTCCTTGAAAGCATCACATTATTGGCATCTACTGACGATTTTGTAACTTTAGTGAAACGGCTGCAAATCCATCCCGCACTCGCGCGGTTGAGCGGAAACCTTTCTCAGGAATTAGACGGAATACCAACGAAGGTGTTGAAGAACGTGAGTCTAGATTCACGAGAACATTTAGCACACCTGTTTAGCCGAATAATTCGCGGCAAAAAACCAGTACCAAGTGACTGAAGGCGAGGTCAAGTCACTTTCAGTTTCAAGAAAGGTGGCAACTAACAACATCAGCGTGACTACCGCCAACTTACTAGGGAGTTTTAGAATAACTTACGCAATTTTAGCGCACGCTAGCGCTAAATTTAGCGCTTGTATTAGCGCACGCGACGCAGGAGAGTTTTAGAATAGCGTTTCTCCGCCGCGACGCAAAAGCCCAAGCATCTCGGGCTTGCGACGCCACCAAGATACAGTAAAAATTTTTATTTCACACACGAAATGGTGTAACTTTAGAAAAAAAACGAGTTTTTTGGTCCAGAGTAGCTTTTTAATTTGTGTAAACATGAGAACGCGACGCGAACGGTTGACCGGTCGTGTCCGCTTGCGTCGCCTCGGCAAGAGAGGTCTCGTGTACTGACCTTCGCACATCGTTCGTTCGCCGTGAAATGTTCGCGCGTCGCAAGCATCAAGTTGCCGGTGATCGCTGCCAAACCGAGTACAATGTCGTCCCGTATTGAAAATTGCAGTCGCGAGGATGCCGCCGACGTCGAACTCACGACGCCGCCAAAACAGCCGCCGACATAATCCTGGAAGCCGCCATTTTTTTTAACTGTGCTCGTCTTGGCTTTAGCCAAGTTCTCATCACGAATCCTCCTTGGAGAAGCGCAAAGAATCTTTGCGTACGGACGCTATTTCCGAGAAATAGCGCGCGCTAAAATTGCGCACGCAAAGCGCAAAGCCTGGTTTGCGTTCGGAGCATGCGCAGCGGCGACGACGCTATTCTTTGCGTGCGCAAAGCTTTAGCGTGTGCTATTCTAAACTCCCTACTGTCACGGCTGTGGCATACAGGGTGTTCCAAACAATTATCAATTGGCAAATCGTATCTTGGGCCGAAGGTGCTGGAACTGCAAAACGATTTCCTAGGGATCGTCGACTAGGTGACAACTTGTTGACTAAATGTACAGAGATCGCTTAGGCGGAAAAGCGGAATCTAATACGTTGCTTTTGGGACATAGACAAACCATACGGCTGTGTACCAAATTCGTTGCTAATCAGGAGGCTGCAACAACTCGATATGCCGGAAACCTGGGTGAGGGTTATCCGGCGTATCTACGATGAAAACCACGAAATGGTAACATTCAATGGGGTCTCAGCTGGTGATGTTCAGGTGCACAGGCGACTACGTCAGGGATGTCCGTTATCTCCCGTTCTGTATATGCTATATACATCCGACATAGAGAAGGCACTGGAGAAAAACAGAATTTGTTTCACTGTACAACAGATGCAGCAATGGGACGTGGTTAAGTGTGTGGTAGGGTGGCCTTGCTGCATGCCCATCTGGGAGGAACAACACGAAGCGAGAAATAACGAGAAACTACATTTATTAGAGTAACAGGATTGGGTTGTTAGTATAAGAGTAAAACATCGCCGGAGTGTTGGAACTGCACGCCTCCGTGACCACAGTCTGGCTTCCTCCGTTCTGTGGGCATGTGCCCTCTTTTGTAGGCTTCTGCGCCTGTCCTACGTGCGCTATTGCGCGACTCAGCCGTTGTCCAGTTTGGACATTCGGCAGTGGCCTCTGACCGTGGTGGGAGACTCTTGCTCCTACACTCCCCCCCCCCCCCCCCTTAAGCATCTGGCATATCGATGCCAGTGTTGAAGTGGTCGTCCTTGGGAGGGGGTCGTCGTCGAGGGTGTGGACGGCGGCGTTGTATCGGCGCTAGGGCGCGCTGCAGGTCGCGGTTGCCCTTTGGTGGCCGTTTCCGGAATCGCCGGAAGTTGCAGTTTTCGGTGCCTGTAGAAAGTCTTGCCCACTGGCCGCAGTTCCGCGGGGTGGGCCTCGCTGGTTGCCGCCCTCGGTGACTGGGACCGCCACGTGTCCTGGGACCATGGCGTCCAGATGCCCGGGATTGGTGGTGGCGTCGCCCGTGATCCATCTTCGTGAATCAGAACGAGCAATTGCCATGGGTTACTCTCATGTGTAACCCCTAGCTCTATGATGCATAAAAAAAAGGATAAAGGATCTGGGGTGAGCACGCAATCGCGCAATATTTCCCCCTCTCCCCCCTCAGGAAGGCGATCAGACCCGTGGGATGATAAACGATCGAGGTACAACGCTCGAAACCCGAAAGAAAGTAGGAAAAAAAAGAAAAATCTTGTCCACCGCTTTACAACTTCTCTCAGCCGACACAGACGTCGCAGGTTGTACGGCCTGTGTGGCGGCGAGGGGGGGGGGGGGGGGGGGGGAGGGTCCGGGACCGGGCCGTCGTCGGCATCGGTCTCATCCTGCGAAAAACCATCTTCTGGGATGTGGAATTGTTTAAGGTCGGTGACATGAATTAGTCCTGTGGACTCACCACTGAAATGGTAAATTAGTCTGTATGAAAGGCTTCACGGCCAGTGAGGCCGTGAAGCCTTTCGCCGCGTCACTTAGGGGGTGAGTGCGCCTGAGTACCAAGTCTCCCACCTCGAACTGCAGGTCTCTGCGTCCCTGGTTGTGCTCGTCGGATTGCTG